ATTTTCAAAATCAATCAATGTTATCCCGTTAAGATTATGTCAACTATTACGTTAGGTTGTATATGGGACCCAAAATCCAATCAAATGGTGACACATAGATTACACAAAATAAGAGTTTTTATCACAAATTATCTCTGACATTGATCCAACTCCTCATTTTGATCTCTAAGTTTCAAAAATCAATAAATTTAGTCTCTAACTTTCACTACCGTGCATCAATTTATTCCCTCCGTTAATGTGGTCCCACTAGTCCAATTATATGGCTCAACATGAATTAACTATAAGAAACTATTTTTTTAAGAGTGAACCAAAAGAAGAGTATTCCACGCTAGCATTTTTCTCGCACCCCACAACCTCATTTGGAAACAAAAATTCAATCTAAATTCGATAAAATCGAATCCAAATTCAATTCAAATTTGACAGGATTTCAAATTATAACCAACTAGAGAGAATGAGGTGTGAGTTTAGGAGGCCAAGTCCTTTAGTGGTGTCATGATGCCTTCTTTTTCCTTTTGATCATACCTTGATGAAGACGACGATGACTTCTTTTTTTTTTGTAAGTTTTGGTTTTTAGTTTCTTATTTTACTTTTAGTTTAAATCTTAAAAAAAATAGTTTCTTCTTATAGTTAATCCATAAGGCGCCATATTGATTGGATTAGTGAGACAAAAAATATTGACGAAACTCTAACAAAAGGATTAAATTGATGTGTGGTATTGAAAGTCAGGGACCAAATTTATTGACTTTTGAAACATAGGGACCAAAATGAGGACTTGGATCAATGTCAGGGATCATTTGTGATAAAAATCTTTATTTTGTATAATCCACGTGTCATCATTGTATTGGATTTGTGGGTACCACATACAAACTAATAAAATAGTTGACGAAATCTTAATGGAATGATCAAATTGATGTGCGGTAGTAAATGTCAGGAACAACATTGATTGATTTTGAAAGTGATGGACCAAAATAATGAGTTTGATCAATCTTAGTAAGCATTTGTGAAAGAAAAAAATCCCTAGAAAAAATGACATTGAGATTAGAGGCATTCATCACCACTCAAAAGATATAATAAACAAATGATGCAAAGATATTGGAACATCAGTTTGGAAGAGACGATGGAAGCAAGAGTTCATTTTGGTTTTGGTCCGCCTTCAATCTAGCGAAATGCCAAGAAAATTGTCTTAAAAGTGACTTTCTATGGATTCTCTGCTACCTCATGTGTTTAAAATAAAGTTTTATAATATTGCCACACGATTTGACGTTAGGTGGCAGAGAGCCCTTGAAGAGACCTATTTTGAAAGAATCTCATTAGCATTTCTCTCAATCGTTTTTCACGTCTGAAGAACTATTGTGAAAATATTACTTTGTAAAGCTTTAACTACTGAAATTTATTCACTCAACTAATTTGGTTGCCTTTCTTCATCTAATTTGATTACTTTTTAACAATTGTTACTATGTAAAATTGATGCTGCTGGATTGCCTTTTTTATTCTCTATAAGATAAGATTAAAAAGGTAATTTAGTAATAAATTATGTGAATAGTGTTCAATAATACGTACAGGGCTAATAAAAAACTCTTTTAATTTAATATTTATTTACATAAGCTTATAAAAAATCAAAGCAATGCGTTTTTTCTAAAGTTTTTTATAAATAATTTATTGTAAACTCAAACAGATATATTCTCGATATATATAAATAATTTAACTCATTTGCAATACAACAAAAATTTTATATTTAAGAGATAAGAAATTTCAAACAAACTCCAAATTTACATTAAAACTGCACGGTTTTACAACCAATTAAAAATTGAGAAAATAAAACATAGAAGACAGCCAATACTCTTTAACAAATTGTATTAGAATGTGCTATCCACACATTTCCTTTTACTTCTCACACACCCTTTGATAATTTCTGTCCGTTGATCTTCTTCAATTCATTAGATCCGACGGCTGAAAATAAAAAAGATGTGTGAGAAGTAAAATAGGGTATGTGGATATCACACCTCCATTGTATTTTGCTCCTTTATATCATAATGCAAGGGTATTATAGTCATTTAGAGTTGCAAACAAGAAACCAGGCCGCGTCGTTTTCAATGACAAAAATGGGCCCTCAATTTTCTGTGGGCTCACACGGCCGTGGTTTAGTAATTATTGTTGTTGCCCAATCCCTTTGGATTTCTGACACGTGCAGCCAATCCACCGATGATAATGCTAGGAATCTTATGTGGGCCCCAACTAAACATGTGGTCCCAGAAATTGGAAAAGGACATTTCTGAACAATTGCCTCTCTTTGACAAGTGAGTTTTGATTGGAACCAATTTTATTATAAAATACCTAATAATAAAAAGAAAATTTTTATTTAAATCCATCTATTTTTTTTTACATCATACTTAAATTTTAAATATTAATTGTCTATTTTACCTTATTTTATAATTACTATTAAGTAAAAATTAAATTAATAATAAAAATTAAATTTATCAATAGACGCACATACTATAATTAAACCCTAGCATCACCCTTTGTTTATCCTAAACTCATTCTGACTAAAAATCTAATAGCTCTGAAAGAGAAAAACAAGATTTTCTATTAATGAATGGTGATTTTGAAGTTTTTAATCCTCCAACTAAGGTATGACTCGATGTATGAATATTTTGTTTGTTTGCTTCTTCTTTGGATTAAATTTCATACTTTTTATATTATATTGTATTTGTTTTTCTCTGTCGTCTGTATGCGCCCCAAAACACTAGTGCAATGACTTTTGATTAGTACTCCAAAGACATAAAACTTGATTCTTGGTGCAAATAAAGATTGCTCAACCTTAACCATGAACTAGCGGGTGGCATGTCTTGCACCTTTTTTATTCGAAATAGCTCCAATTTGTTTATTTGTTTATTAACATAGCAGCAAAACAGCCAGCCCTATGTCACTTCAAAGTTTATTAAAAAGTACATGAAAATGCTCGATTTTAAAATGACTAAAATGGAGCTTGCATAACATTCTCTTGACAAATTCAAGTCTGCGGAATTATCTCTTGGATCCCAAGTCCATGGATGGGTTGTGGTAGCAAAAAGAAAAGAAAAAAAAAAGCCATGGACATGCTAGTCCTATACTACATAAGCAATTATAGAGGGGCAAATGACGCCTCTTTGAAGAAAAAAAAACATTCAATTAGATGTGTTATTTTATAAAGAGAATGGGTGTAAAGATAATTTTACATTTTGAATTGGGTTTGAAATGGTAATTTAGGTAATAATTTGAGTTTAAAAAGATATTAATTCTTTAATAAATAAAATAATATGGATGAAGAGAATAAGTTAGATGTAGAAAAAAGTTAAACGAGTTCAAATAAAATTTTCCTAATAAAAACTTAAATACTTAAACACAAAAAAGTAATTTATGCACTCAGCTTTTTTTTTTTATTCTTTTTATAGAGAAATTAACTAAAAGTCTAAAATGCAACACTTACAAATTTCATTATTTAATGAATTTGTTTTTAGCATTTGATTTTGAACAGTTGAGCAATTGACAATTATAAATTCATCACTTTAGTTAGCTTTTTCTTTATTAACAGGTGGATTAAACAAATTAAATGAGAATGAAAGGATTGCCTATAATAATTACGTGTATATAATATCATCAATGTCTAAAAGTCGAGATGCTAATTATATTAAACACATGTAGGTATCGTAGCCAAATTCAAGAATTAAGTATAGAAACAATAATAAGAGGGTAAAAATATAAAACATGAATAAGGAGGGAATATGATAAGACTTACTTTACTTTATGGGAAATGAATTCGATATGATGAGAAATAATATCCTAAACACTTTTTCTTTCTTTTACGCTCCTCCTTGTATTTGTCTCAAAAAAAAAAAAACGTTATTCTTTATATATTTTCGTTGTTTCGTTTGCTTTAACAAAAATAATAAATGTTGTATAAAACGTAAAAAAAGTATGTTTATCATATGGGGTTTTTGAACTTTAATCCCTCAAGAAGATTAAAATTAAAAAAAAAACTTGGTGTTAGATTAAATATTGATTTTAGTCCTTAATGTGCCCTTAATTCAAAATAATTAATGTGCATTTTATTTAATGTCTCCTATTAAATATTTAAATTTATTAATACACAAATTTTAATTTATTTTTTGACCAAAAAAGAGTTTTTTAATTTATTAATTTTATTTAACATTCTTCAAACTTGAAAGACTCAATTAATGTACCTAAATGTTAGTACCGAAATATATTATATTGAACTAATATATTTAAATGTTAGTACCAAAATGTATGTACTTAAATATATGCACCGAAATGTATTAATATTAAAATAATGTACCTAAATGTATGTACCAGAATGTATGCACTAAAATGTTAGTACCGAAAATGTATTACATTGAATTAATGTACCTAAATGTTTGTATCGAAATGTATGTACCGAAATGTATGTACCTAAATGTATGCACCGAAATGTATTATAATGAATTTAATATACCTAAATGAAGAAGATAAAGTACATCAAAATATATTGTATAACAAAAATTAGTTTATCTAAATGTTCACAACAAAATATATTACGATGAATGAAATTAAAATAAAAATTATAATGAAATAAAATTAATACATTAAAAATTAGAAAGAAAAAGATAAATAATTAAAAAATCAAAATATAATTAATAAATGAGGTTATTAATGTATCAAGGGACTAAAATTAGATTTTGATCTTACTCATGGTTTTAATCAAAAAGTCATCTTTGCCAAGAATTAAAATGAAGTTTTCTATATTGGGTGTTTGAAAACAATCATAACTTACAGAATTCTAATGAGAAATGTTAAGGAAACTTTCTTAAAAGTGAGATTATTTCTAACACTTCATATTTTTGATACAATATTTTATAATATTAACAGGATAATTGACGTTAAATTGTGAAATGTCAGAGAATTTATGGAGAGTCGCTTCGAAAACCAAACCACTAAGTCCACTGTCCACCCACTCCTCCATCATATATTGGTGAACCTGAAAAGCTTAAAAGCATTCCAAATACACTCAAACACTTCCATTTCAATCTTCTTAAATTGGGAGGGAGCCTAAACATAAAATTTGTACACAAAAGTTATGTTGAAGTTTGGCAAGAGACCTCTCCCGATGGTCGGAAGGATATCGGAACTCCTAGTTTCCGGCAGCAGTGCCGGGTTTTCTGACACGGGCACAAGCCCTAGAGGTCCACTGGACCTCAAGATACAACCTACTTCAAGTCCTAGAGGCGTAAAGAGCTATGACGTTGGTGGTGTTGGGTTGGGAATAGTAGCTGCCCTGGAAAAATCAACCCATAACGGACGTGAAATATTGGCAAAATACGCTGTGTTCTGTCCGAACACGAACCGGTCCGACCCGATTCCGGTGAATTCGGGTCAAAACTGTGATGGGTTTTCATCAGGAGGTGTCCAAGAATTTGAGGAAGATAGTTCAGAGAATTATACTTACGTGACTCTACGTGGACAAAAAAAGTCATGCACAAAGGTGTACTACGACGGTGATGACTGCGCAGGAAGTGCCAGGCACCGCCGTGCCAGTTGCGGTGGTTTGACTATATGTGCTGATGATCTTGAAAGTTCGGTTTTTCCTACATCGGATTTCCTCAGTTGCTGCCATTTGTGCAAGAAAAACCTCCATGGCAAGGACATATACATGTACAGGTATTCCACAATCTTAACAACTTTTTCTTGTTCTTTATTAAAGCGATATTCTAATTAACCTAATCTAAACTACTGGATAACTATTCGAACTTGAGTACAAAGAGTGGTTTGTGAAACCTTTTCTTGTTAGTGTTTAACACTGTTTTGTTGGGATTTATGTTTGATTATGTCATTAATGTTTCCTGTGATGTTTTTTTTACAGAGGAGAAAAAGCATTTTGTAGCACAGAATGTCGGTCAACCCAGATAGTTGCCGACGAGAGGAAAGAGCAGTGCAGATTAGACGCTTCGAGATCTCCGGATGTTTCGAGCTCGTCTTATTCCAAAGATGAGATCTTCTCTACTGGGATTCTTGTGATTTAAGGCAAAAAATTACATAGACGGCCATACACTATACATTTATATATAATATATGAGGATATTAGTTTGTTTGTTTTTCCAATTAACAAGAAAAAAGAAAGAGGAAAAGAGAAGGAAAATTTTGGATAAATCGTATCAATCAAGCTTGTATTTTGATCAATTTGAATAATAAAGAATAAGTGTACACCTTGATTTCAATAATACTTGGATGGATGGATGAGTATTGTGCTTATGCTAATCTAACGGTTCAACTGTGTTCATATAACAGACAATTTTTTTTTTTTTTAAATTTATACAAAACCAGTTTCATGTTTCTGCAGCGGTGCAGATCGTGTTCGTATGACAATCTCTATAAAAAAAATTTGTTAGTCTTTATTTTATTGCTGATTAGTGCTTACTGATGTGTTACTGTACCGGAATATTTCTCCAAAATATGCTTTACAGTAATGGAACGAATTGGAAAAAGTATACAAATCCCGTCCCATTCGATTGAAAATTTGAAAGCTTTCTCCTTTGAATCGGACACAGTTGGACCCCATTTTTAAGACTTTCCACAAAAAATTGGACAGTGACCCCCCAAAATTAACTGTCCAACAACAGAGAGTATCAATATCCTATTAAGTATTGATGCCTGGAAAGTCCAGTTCAATCATGTAGTCTCACTCCTCTAGAAAGGGACTCGTAAGGCCACAATATTTACGAAAGAACTGATTTCCGTATACCTATTCCTCTCTCGCAATCTCAACTGTGATTTTGGCCGTTAGATTAAATAAAGTGGAATCAAGACAAACGAACAAGTGCAAAGAAGAAAAAAAGTGCGGATGGTTCTTCTGTCCACAACCATTGTGGGATATGCCAGAGTCCATTTTAAAATTTTATGTGATAGTCGTATTCAATACCAGCCATCAATCCAATCGTAAGAAATCTTGAGGCCCAACCTAACGGTAGAAGTTGGACGCAAGTATTCCGTTTCTCTCATCACGTGACTAGGGGCACTTGATAAGTGAGATTGAGTGAGATATGCAACCGATTACGTGCTATATTCACAAGACAAGGTCAGTAGAGAGAAAGGGAGGGAGATATACAACCGTTTAAATGTTAGAATCCCGACAAGTGTAAGCCAAGTCTCTACAACCGAAGCTCTTGAAGCCATCAAGACTCTTCATTTGGTAATATGAAATCCCATCTTAAACAAATCCTTAAAGAGTATAACTCGCTAATAGAAAGCTGTAAATAAGATTATGCTAAACTGAGTCAGGTCATAACCCCCAAATGTTAGAAACATAAACCATAGTAGCCATACACAGCGCAGGTATAAGTTATAAAAACACATAAAAATCTAAAAAAATACAAAGAAAACAAATCTTCAAACGAAATAAAAAAGGGGGAACCGAAAAACGTTTACACTTCCTACAGGTTTTCTCAAACACTTATTCCTCAGTGTCGTGGTATATCGGGGGGTTTCCGAATCATAATTACTGGTAGTACATGAGTTGCTGAGTTGTTGCTACATTATGGTAGCCACCGTCGTATATGGCCTGACTGGCTCCACCACCCATCCCCATGGCTGCCTTCAGAGCATGCTGACCCTGCGGAAGCATGAGGGCTTGCGCACCACCCATTTTGCTCAATGCCATTTGTCTTTCATAGGCCACAAGGTCAGCGGCTGAGAAGCCTGGCATGTGAACTGCAGCTGGTGGCGGCAGGGGGGTTGAGCTTGTCCCTGGTGGAGTAGGCTTGCTGCCCCATGAACACTGTTAACACAAACAGAAAACCATTAGAAGATCAAACCAATTGATCATTTGACGACACCATTAGGACCTATACATATCACAAACATTTAAAACAAGCATATGTGCCTGCTCCACACGACGCCTCACTCGTAAACTAAGAAAAGAAGCAATCATCTGAAATCTAATATATTTGCCAAAAATTTGTCAATTGTTGGTAATTCAACTGAATTGTAAACTCCGTCAAGAGTGTACCTTAATTGGTTTGCCACAGAGAAACCTAGCATTCCCCAACTGGATGGCCACAGCTGCTTCAGAATGGGTACTGTATCTCACAAACCCAAAACCTTTATCTCGCTGCACCCGAACATCTTCAATAACTCCAGCACCAAGGCCATGGAAATGACGATGAAGGTCAACTGAAGTAACCTGCAGATTAATGGTAACTCATATTTAGAACATTTTTCTTTGTTTATTGTGCAACTTGGACAAATGTAGACATTATTTGTTATGCCCACTGGGAGTTCCATGCTAACCAGAGCCGTTTGCCTGTGGATCCTGTCACTAACACGCAATTAACCTATGATCTTATAACAATGGTATCTTTGCAGTTTTGAAAGAGGGCCAGCTGTCCACCACGTATACATAGAAAAACACAATCAAAACTAACACTGAGGTGATAAGCTGACATTAGTTTGCTGAAGAAGTTGGTTCTTCAGCACTTTATTTGCCTATGTTGTCAGAAATTTCAGCCTCTACTGTACTTTGGTCTAAAATTGACTTCATTTGCATAAGAACATATGGTGATTACAGTATGAAAAGAAAAGATATAGCCAATCCACAACCAGTTTAATAGTCCATGAGTTAGAAAAGAAATCCTTGCCTCAGGAGCCAGATTGCCCACATAAACCGTAGTATACTGAGGATTGTTCTCTGGAGCATCTTCATTAGGCTTCTCCTGACCATCGTCTGCAAGGGACACAAACAGTAAGCTCATCATTATGGGAACACAAATGTGGCAGAAAATTAGAAAGTGAACATCATATCTAACATCATCACTACTCACAGATTTCTGATTCCAATTCAAAATAGTTTTGTACAATAAGAAAAAAAGCATTTTGGAAAAACAAAGAGTAGACAACAGATTCAAGCTGCAATATCTACAGACAAATTATCACCCAGCAAATATGCCATCATAAAACTAAAAGGATAGTTTCTTACACATCCCACTTATCAAGAACAAAAAATAACAAGAGCTACACCACTCATATTAATTATGGATAGTAACATCCAAGGGAGAACACAAACAATTTTACTTCCACAGCTACATAAGCAACTATGAAAACTTGTTTCATCACTAATGAAGCAGCTCACCTGATGTTCCATTCGTCAGCTCTACAACATTTTTAGAATCAGAACTCTGCTTGTCATCATTGGAAGTAGCACCTTTTGTGGCCCAATTGCACCGAATCTGTCTACTTCCAAGCCACTTTCCTGAGATACCAAGTTAAGAGTTATGTCATCATAGCACTTCTTAATGGGTACACTAACCAAAATTTAAACAACATATGCAAGCAAATAAACTTCCATCAAAAGAATGTACACTGTCTTACCATTTAAGTCATTAATTGCACTTTGGGCCTCCTGAACAAATAAAACCAGTGGCACAATCATACAATGAGCCCAACCAGAAAACAAGGAGTGAGAAGGAAGATGCAAAAGGAAATGTTTAACAATTTCGGTACCTGCTGATTTCGGAAAGAAACAAACCCAAAGCCCCTTGAACGCCCAGTTTTCTGATCCCACATAACTCTAGCATCTCTTTGATAGAAATCAGATCAAATTAATTTAAACAGCCGAGTATGTTTGAAATAAGAGGTACTTCAATTATCCAATAGAAGTAACCCAATATATCAAAAGACATCAGCAGAATAACAGAAAACATCAATGTTGAATAAAAAACTAAAAGACAAGGAAGTGGAGCTTACGAACAACTAGAATAACCAGAAAAACATGCAAACAGTGTAGCATCAGTAACCTCAGGGCTAAGATCACCAACAAAAATATTAAAGTGACCTGCACACCAACATAACAAGCATAAGAAATTAAAATTTTGAACATATCAGTCCATGATAATCAATGCATACACATCACTTCATAATAACCGATGCATATACAAACCTGATGTATCCTCTCTCTGACTACTTGCATATGCCCAATTAACTTTAATCGGCTGCCCAAACCTGAATAAACAGCACATTCAGCAAAGGACACCACCAAAAAACGAAAGCCTATCATAATTCTATAAGGATTTTTACTTACAGATGCCTGCCATTAAGAGTCACAATAGCAAGAGCAGCTGACCTACGATCAAAGTAGTCAACAAATCCATAGGATGACTGCATTGAGAATACATTGGAAACAACACGTAAGTAAAAAGTCTTACTAGATCACTAATGTACCAACATTTTTGAGCAACAGAATTTAATCATATGAATCCACAGCTGATCATCAAATATTAAAAACAGAAAGATTCTCGTGGAACTAAGAAGAATCTATCATCTGTCCTAACCTACCCATCCAAAGAAAAACACACAAAGTAGGCAAAAATAAACCCCACCTTATCCTTCCTTATGAGCTTGCATCCTTCAAGTGGACCAGTACTGGCAAAGACTTCTTGCATAAGGGGTTCAGTAACTTGTGGGTGAATATTTCCAACATAACTGCATTTTTTCACGAATTACAACATTATAACGTGCAATCTGATAAAAAATGACTGAGAAAAGTAATCTACCTAGCAGATGCTTCAAATATACAATGACTCATTACCCATCATAAATATATTTAACATAAATAATAAAATATACGTATAGCAGAAAGGCAACCATGCCCGAGTTCTATGCATGCGCAGACTATTATTAGCACAATAGATTGCATTCATTTACATAAGAACTAAACATTTCGGGCAAGAAAACAAACGATTTTCAGTGAGTACAAAGAAACCTAGTTGTAAAGAAAAATAAACAAAAATAGAAAAAGAAAAAAATATCTATACAACACTCACACACTGCGGCAAGTACTTGAATCAAACCCAGGAGGCAGATTTCCACTCAAGATAGGCTCTATCTGCAAAAATACGAATGTAAAAAAACAAGCAAAAGGAAAAGGAAAAAAAAAACCTAAGTAATAAATTTACACTCCCCACAAAAACTTAAAGAGATGCATAAGCAAACAAATGGTTGAAACAAAATAAAGGACCACAGGCATGGAGACAATCTTGCACATGATTACAAAATTGACAGAAAGAGGCCAATCTGTTATATAATAGGTACCCCATCAGTTTCAAGCTATCTCAATAAACTTATCATGAACCGATAGAGTTTCTCCCTTTTCAATTTTCCGTTTTATATAGGAAGCCTCGCATAGAATCATTAGAGGTAGTAGTAACAAACACTAATACTTAGAACTGCACGGCCATTGACCGAGACTGATATCGTTCCATCTGTTCATTATGCGGAACATTACGTGCCCTCGTTGGACAGTAGATTAATAGAAACAAGGATATAATAACAAGCAGAACAAGCTACAAGTATCCAAACAGTAGAGTTTGGCAAATTATATGTACATTATTAAGGTTCCTATATGGATAATAATTACCTAAAATGTATACACCATCACTTGAATACAGTTGATACAAAATTTCAAGAATAAATAGATAAATTTAGATAATTCAAACAGAATTCCCCAAAAAAATTACAAAAATTTCTGGAAAAATCCAACTTTTGGGATCCTTGTAAAACAAAGCCACACACAGATCAGCCAAACACAAAAATCCCATAAATAAATATTTCCAATGGAAATAAACCAGCACTTGGCCAAACATCTCCCACAAATTTCAACCTATACACAAAAACCCATATCCAAACAACAATAAAAAACTCAAACTTTTGACCCAGCAAAATGAACAAACATGTAAACCAGAATTAAACCACAGAGAGAGAGAGACAAAGGGACAATAAGAACCTGAGGGGCAGCTACGAGGGCAGGGTGTTGGTAAAGCGACTGCTGTATCATGGCTTGCTGCTTGAACCTCTGCTGTTCCATATTATCCTCCTCACACAACGCGGAGAATTGAGGATTTTATACAAATTGCTGTGCAATTGCAATTTTAGGGTTAGGGTTTCAGGGAGACGAAGATGAAATTACAAGGGAAACGAGGGAGGAAGAAGATGAAAAAAAAAATGAAAAATGAAAAACCGAAAAAAAGGGGGAAAAAAAAGAAAGGAAAAAACCCCTCGAAGAAAATGAGAATCAGTAGAGCAAGTCACTGCTTTTATATCTGCTGATTCTTTTATTGGAATTTTTTTAATTTCAACTGTAAGAAAATATTAAATTAAATAAATATTTTTTGTTGTAACCTACCGTATTTGTATTTTTGTGTCATTGTTTTTTCATTAAAATATTTATTTTATTTTTTAATTCCGACTGTAAGAAAATATAAAATAAATATTGTGTGCGGTAATATATTGTATTTGTATTTTTGTCACTGTTTTTTTTTTGTCAAAATATTTCTTTTGTGTGGCAATTTATCGTATTTGTATTTTTGTGTCATTGTTTTCTATTCAAAATATGAAATAGAAAGGAACTAGAATTAATTATTTTGTTTTTGATATAAACATCATTATTAAGATTTAGTTATAATATTTACATGAATTTAATACAATCATCATTTCATCAATTAGAAGATGATTTCTTATAATTGCTTAACTTGTGAAAAGTGGAATCATAGAATGAGAATCAATTTGCTTACCAAAAATGTAACTAATATAGCTTTTTCAGAATAAATAGAAAAAATTTAGAGAGCTTTACCCATAGAGACAAAAACACAAAACACTAGTTTTGAATTATTTCAAGGATAAAGAAAAACCTTAAATATCAACAAACCTAGCCCAGAAACAAGTAAACCAAAATTTTAAAATCTAGTCATGCCCCCAATAGACTTGTTACTTAACCAAGCCAATATTACAAAATGACATCATCTATAAAAACTCAAACTGATTTTAGATTCGTAAAAATTGATTTATGCACTTCTGTAAGATCAATTTCAAAACTTTTTGTGCTTCTGCAATATCAGTTTCACAATTTATGCATTGCCACAAGATCAATTTCCAAATTCAAGCATTTCTACGAGATCAATTTTAAAATTTCAGCAACTCTACAATATCAGTTTCAAAATTCCATCACTTCTACAACACCAATTTCAAAAAATTTAGCACATTTGCAAGATCAGTTTTAAAATTTCAGCACTTATGCAAGATCAATTTCAAATTTCTATCCTTTTGCTTCAAAATTCATGCATCTAAATCAGTCAAAACCTTAAAATCAAATACTTCAAACATTATTAAAATCTAAAATCACAATCGTTCTCAGAAAAAAAAAATTCATAAATTTGGGGCACAATATAAAGAAGAAGAACAAGGAGAAAGGCGAGAGATATATGAAGAAAATAATATGAGAGAATGATGAAGAAGAAGGAGGACAAGAGAGTTAAAATGATGAAGAAGAAGAAGAAAGGAGGGAGAGTAAGAAAGGATAGGTAGGAATAGGGATGGGTAAACAGGTCCTAGACCCGTGGGTAGGGGCGGGTACTAGCGATTCGAGGCGGGTCCATATTTTTCTAAACTCCAAAGTCCAGGGCAGGGCGGTTCCTAGTAAACAGCGGGGTGGGCAGGGTCTTAATTTCTGAAGACACAGGCCCTCGGCCTTGACCGTACCCACCATCTAATACTAGAGATTAAATCTATACCGTTCAAAGTTCAAACATCTCACACTCATAGGGGTCTCATAGTCTATAGTTTACTCTCAAACTTTCTCAAAGACTCTGCCAGACTCGGATGAATCTCCTCTCTTTAGTCATCATTCTCGTAACTCGATCATCGATTCGATTCTCACTCTCATTGCTCTTGATCTCTCTATCCCATAGTCCAAAATGACTCCCATCCCTCTCAAATCTCAATAGTTGAGATCCCTCACTCAATGTCTATGAAGTCGACTTCAAGTCTCCGACCACCACCATCCACTCCTCTCAACTTCGACCACCACCCCATAATCCTGACCAGTCCATCTCAAAGCTAAATCTTCAAACAAAAGGTATTCAATTTTAGCCTTTAACGATTTTAGGAATTTGGGTTTTTCTATATTTAGGGATTTTGAATTATTATTTTTATTTTGGTTAATTAATATCGTACTTTCTGGGACCTGGGTTTTTGCATTTGCAAGCCAGCAAAACTGGGGAGTTTTAATTACCAATAACTATAATATGCACTCGATTAGGAACAAAGGGGTAGATAGATTACAACAATCTTTTATAAGTTTTCAAAGGGTTTGTAAGCACTCGATTAGGAATGACGGGTAGGTAGACTACTAATTATCGTACAATATGCACTCGATTGGGTTACTGAATCTCATTCCAATTTGTGCAACTTTAGAGAAATCAATTTGTTGCATTTCCAAAACCAAGATACTATTGCAATTCAACCATTTGAGTTTACCAATGTAGTTAAGTAGTTGATTGTTTTGCGTGCTTGAAAAGTCTAGTCTTGTTTTATGATTAGCTGACTCATTTGATTCTCCTTGTATGTTAGGTGAGGTGGTTTTGTGATTTGTTTGTATTTGAAATTTGATTAGTCTATTATTATGCTTGAGATCAAACAAGAAAATCGAATTATGGCTGCTGTGCTCAGCAAGGTTTTACAAAGGAGGAATGTTATTGCTTAATTCCTAAATAAATGATACCAAAGTAATAATCTGTTTTTTGAAAAAAAAATAATAATAATAATTGGCCCTGTGGACCCGACCTAAATTGGCCCGTTTCAAATGGGTTGGATTAGGTCTGGTTCCAAGAATTAGAAATGATATACTTGCCCTAGCCCTTCCCGTTTCATTTTAAAACAAGTCGTGTCCAGTTCCTCCAAATTTGGGCTCGGCCCAACCCCTGCCCATCCCTAGGTAGGAAGAAAAAGGAAGATAAAGAGGAGTGAGAGAAAATGATGATGAAGAAAAAAGATGAGAGAGAAAGAAATAGTACAAATAAAGATATAGAGACTCATGTGACATCCCACATCGTCCAGGGGAGTGGATCCTATAAGCCTTATATGTATATTCTCATCTCTACCTAGCACGAGGCCTTTTGGGAGCTCATTGGCTTCAGGTTCCATCAAAACTCGAAGTTAAGCGAGTTCGCACGAGAGCAATCTCATGGTGGGTGATCTACTAGGAAGTTCTCGTGTGAGTTCCCAGAAACAAAATTGTAAGAGCGTGATCGAGGCCCAAAGCGGACAATATCGTACTACAACGGAGCCAATTCTTGGCTGAATGTGTGCCAACGAGGACATCGGGCCCCTAAGGGGGGTGGATTGTGACATCTTACATCGCCCGGGGGAGTGGATCTTGTAAGCCTTATATGTATATTCTCATCTCTACCTAGCACGAGGCCCAGGGGAGTGATCATGTAAGCCTTATATGTATATTCTCATCTTTACCTAGCACGAGGCTTTTTGGGAGCTCACTGGCTTCGGGTTCCATCGAAACTCCAAAGTTAAGCGAGTTCGTGCGCGAGCAATCCCATGATGGGTGACCTATTGGGAAGTTCTCGTGTGAGTTCCCAAAAACAAAACTGTGAGGGCGTGGTCGGGGCCCAAAGTGGACAATATCGTGCTACGGTGGAGTTGAGCCCGGGATGTGGTGGGTTACGGGTCGGGATGTGACACTTATCTTTCAATTATAAACTGAGTCTAGCATAATCTTTTCTTCCCTTATACCATATTCAACCATTAGGTTAAAATCTAAAATTTTTAACACAAAAACAATTTTTTTGCTTCAACCCTTGTGGGTTAAACGTTTAGTCTGATATTATTAAAGAATGAATTTAAAATATTTTTTTTTAAAGTAACTTTAAAATTTTTTTTGTAGACTATCCTAATTTAATAACAAACATTTTAACCTAAAAATATTTAGATTCCGATAAATATTGAAAAATCACCATCGACACCATGAAACTCGTGGAACACATTGAAAAAATATGAAACAGATGAAAGATTTTTTTTTTTAATTATTTAGCCGTTGGATTTAAATTTTGACAATTAGACCTTCTTTTCACTATTGAATTTTAGCATATTAAATCTTAGACATTGGATTCAATGAATTTAAAAAAATAAAACTAAAAAAAATACGCATATATGGTGGGCCAGCTCTAGTAACCCAGAAGGGAATTATAGCCTAAATTTTCCCAAAAAATGAGTTTTTGGTTAAAACTCATATTTGGCCCAAGGATTAGAGCAAGTTGAGGTAGATTTAGAACTTAAAATTTTAATTTTACTCCAAAGATTGGAGTAGATCTTAGCGTAGAATATCTCTTTTTTACTTAAAGTAGAATATCGTTGCATAAAAAAATGATTGAAAAATCCTATTCTTTTAAATGAAGAAAATAAATTCTTTTGGGTATGAAATATAGTTTTTTTTTTTAAGATAATAAACAAAAAAAAAGGTCCACTCCATGTTTAGGCCACAAAGCAACCAATTTCACAGATTAAGCCACAAAAGCAATACTTTACTATTGGACAAAGCATGTGTCATAAATCTTCAAAGCCCTACAAGTTATTTATTCTTGTTGGAGAAATGCTAGAGAGATTCTTTAAAGTTAGATTTTTCATGGATTCTTCATATTTTTTATACAATGTTTTACAATGTTGATATGAAATTTGTGCCAAAAATATGAAGTGACAGAGAGTTTATAAAAAGTCTCACTTTCAAATCTCCGTAGTATTTCTCTTATTGTTTTGAGTGTCTATCATAACATCCGGCCAAATTTGGAGCCTCATTAAATTGACATTAGACTTCAATTTGTATAAAGTATTAAATTCACCAACATGCATAAGACCGAAACATGAGAGATTTGGTAGCTCTACAACTGCTTGTCCACTCAACAAAAAGTTGATGATTCAAGCCCTTCAAGCGAGTTAGAGTTATTTTGATTTTTTATTTATCATGCGGTTATTCGCATGTGAAATATAATTAAAAGTGCAGGTTACACTTCAAAACCGTAATTCAATATTCGAAAATTCATGAGTCATATCAATTAGTGGATCTAGTTGACTTCGTACCCATTCATTCTATCCATGTCGTAGTTTATTACATCACTCATTCTAAACAAGTAAACATACCTAAAATGGTCATAGCAAATGAAAATAATGGGTTAGAAAATGTGAAGGGTTTGATTAATTCAATTTTTGTTTAGTGAGCAAAGGCCCAAATGATCCAAGAACCCAACTAGTTATTGGTGTTAGATTTAGTAGCCCCATAAGCAGGAGCAATTAAACCCGCATTGAAAGGCACCCGACCACCTTGAACAATCATAGCATGTGATGCCCACCACCTAGAACATAGCATGTAATGCCCACCACCTTGAATATGGCATGTGATGCCCAATTCAGAACCACGTGTTTTTAAGATAAATTAGATGGAGCCCACAATTTTTTTTTTTGTTCATTAGATATTTTAACGGAAGCTTTGATGAAAAGATACTGTTTATTTTAATGAAAAACTAGATTTTTATTCTAAAAAGTTTATCCTGATATTATTTACTTACAACACATTTTTATCATTTTCGTTAAAATTCAAAGTTTTCAAATCTTTTTTATTAATTTTCCTTATTTTAACTGGTAATACCGTCATTTCTCGGCCATAAATTATTCATGTTGCATTTGAATTGTGAATACCAAATCGGTAGTTTATATAGAGTCGAACAAAGGGGAGCAACTCCGTGAACAAAGCGAGACATTCAAAATAGTTCATCACTCATTAAACACAGTGATTTGATTAATTAATCCCCAAAATTTAATCTGGTATATCTGTCCACGTTTAGAATTAGGATGCACACTTGCACCTCATTTTTTTAGTTGGTAATGTTTGCCAACATTTGGGCACAATATTTCGTAGCAAAAGTGGAATACAACATAGAAAAAAAAGGATGTGACTTGTTTGAATCAGTGTCTAAAATATCGGTATCAGTGGAAATATTGATAGGTAAATTTTTGAAAATATCAATGAATATATCGTATATCGATTGCTTTCGATTGAAATGATGGAAATTTGCTCAAAAACATGGAAATTTAAAATTATTTTTTAGGGAATGTCATATGAAGTTACAACACACGTATGAATCAAGAATTAATAATTAGATATTGTGCAAACAATAAGTGTGTGATATGTGAAAAGAAAAAGTTCCTTATAATGACAAGTAATAAAATAAAACATTTCACTAGAAAGAATAAATTATATATTACTTAATTGAATTTTTTTGTTATGAAAGCAACACAAGTTTTATTGAAGTAAACTAGTACCATAAAAAAAGAAATTAAAAAATAAAGAATGCATAGGGTCAGAGATATTTCCTGCAATGCAGGATATTTCAAACACTAATTTGATTTTGTTGCGTGTTAATTTTCTTAACCAATTTCAACAGGTCAATCATGCGAACCACTAGAGCAGCATAATTTTTACTTAGAAAAAAAAAAAAAAAAGACATCTGGTGGCAAGTCATGATTATCCATCCCTTCATATGAATTATTTAATCTAGCAACACCTAAAGTTCACATAATTATTTGGTTTAACGACACTCAATATCTACTTGGTTAAAAAAGATCAGAGTTTACGACACTTAGTTTTTTAGTAGATCCGAGTTTACAACACTTAGTTTTTTAGTTCAGATCTCATCAACGAAACTTGTTAATAAAGAAAAAAGGCACATAAAATAATAAAGAAAAAAAGCACATAAAATAGTTGCTCGTACAAGGAATGCATATTGTATGGTTTGTACCATATAGTCTTCTAACTTTGGACACAAACCACGAGCAATGGGGCCACATGAATTGATGAGAAAACAAGATTGCGAGGGCCACCCAATAAATGAAAATGTTGGAACGTGCTTAAACCAAACCATGTATGCACCCCCATCTCCACCAACAGAGAAGAACAAAAAGTGAATTAATTTTATAAAAATTCAAAATTATATCATTACTAATTGAATTCCTTCCATCAAAAGCTTAATTACATGCTTACTGAAGCCAATTAAGATTAACCAACAGTTGGTAGACCTAATATGGCAGAAAAATATAGAGCTAATGAAATTCCGGGCTTAAATTAAACCCGCCAAAATTGAAAAATATAGCACAGGCTTGAACTATAAGGAAGCCTAAGGATGCATACAAGAACACAGGTTCTCATATCATTGGGTTTGTTGAGCAGCCAACCCTAACCATGACTTGTTTTCGGTTGGCTTCACCGGGCCGGATGAAGGGCTGCTCGTTTGGTACGGTGCTCGCGTGCTGAGCCTGTAAAACAGAGAAATTGCAAACAAGATCAATCAAATGGATCATATATACATTACTCTTAACATGAATTGGTAATTTTGATGATTGGAGAGAAAAATATGCTATAGTTGTTTCGGATGCCTACCTATCCTTTCTCTTTTCAAGGAATCGATGCAGCGAAGCTTTCCTCGCAAGTGGAAGATCTGCAATAGAAAGGAAATCATTGATTAGAAACATGTTATTTATTTATAGGATTACTTGATATGGAGACACGGTGATCACAGAAAGAAAATTACCACAGACTATCGGTCGAGGGGATGGCTTGTCGCCCTCCTGGATCGCTTGATTGTCAAACTTAGGCAACATGTTTGTGCTCGGGGGAACTGAACTGCTGGAATTAATTGGACTCTTGCCCAAATGAGAGGCAAAGGCATTGTTAATGTTGGCCGGAGTAGAAGCTGGAGTGGTATGCCTCTGGGAACTTTCCTTGCTTGCTAAGAGCATGACTTCCTTCGCCTTGTCCGCGGGAAAATCATTGAACACTATGACTTGTCCATCATAAAAGATAGTCATTTGTGCCTTTTGAGGCTCTCCCGGGGCAGATTTCTTCACACTAGTACATGAGAAACAAACCAGAGCTAACAAAGATTTCACATATAAACTCAACAAAGTCATATGCTGCTAAATTTTTTCAGAAATCCGATTTTCGCCTTCTAATATCTATCGAAATCCTACAAATACAGAGCCGTAAATGTAAATTTCCAAAAAATTACCTAGAATCAGCCATCATGGGGACCTCTTCTCTGGGAGTGGGGGCAGAGGGACCAAAACCAGCTTGTTGAGGAAACAAATCCATGGATTTGAAATCTCTAGCCGCCGTTGGCATGTTTCGAGAAGTTTCCATAAATGGAAAGAAATTCATGGGTGGGGCTTTCTGATGAAACATCTCAGGTGCTCCTCCTGTCCAAACATTTTCCAATTTTATAAAACAAATAAGGAAAATTCTGAAACCTTTTGATATGGAAACAAAATTAAACGGAGCAGTGCTTTTTACTGCAATTTTCAGGTGTTTCTAGTCAAATTTGAATGAGATCTTATTAAATCTTCTTAAAAAAAGAATTATGTGCTAAAAATCTTCCCTTTTCTGATTCTCTTTCAATTGGGAAACTTCTTGGTTTCTCAGCAACCAAACAGAAAGTCTAAAACATAAACATGCACACATAAGATTCTAGATGGAGTTCATTTTCTCTTCCTCTAATTTTCTCAGCAACCAAACAGAAAATAAGACCAGCTAAAAAGTAAAGACAAGTGCTTTACCATTTGATTGTTGCATGTTGTTGCATGCCATGTCAAGATTCAGATCTCCAAAGCTGCCTTCCTCCTTGAGGTACTGGCAAAGCATGCTGCATGTCTGAGTGAAGCTCGACGGCTTCTCCGCCGTCCTCATCCCTCTCTGGCCTGAAAATTTCTCCGACGAACTCGACATTTCTCCGCCGACCCAGTTCAAAATCCCACAATCCAACCAAACACAACCCAGCACTCAAAATCCAAACTTTTCCCACCAACCCAGTTCTAAATCACTCAATCCAAACACAACCCAGAATTGAAAATCCAATCTTTCTTCCTTTTTCCAGACAAAAAAAATCCCTTTTTTTATAATCTTGGCGCTGAAACCTCCTGTCTTTATACCCTTCTTGTAGTGAGAGAAAACTTGTGGTCCTCTCTGTCTCTTTTATCAGCAGTCCACAGGCTTATCTTTTTGGGTAAACTGTCGGTTTACCCCCTGAACTTTCAGCTCACTTTCGATTTCCCCCCTGAACTTTTCTATTGGAAAATTAAGGACTCAAACTAATTTTTTTAGCCAATTTGCCCCCTACCGTTAGTTTTTCATATATTCCATCCATATTTCCGTTAAGTGAGACCATGTGCATAACATGTGAGGATAGTTAAGTCATTTCAATTTAAAAATGATTAAAAACTGAAAATAAATAATAATAATTTTCCCTCTATTTTTTCCCGCTAATTCCTATCCTCAATTTTAATTTTCCCTCTCATTCCTCCTATGCATGAGAAATAACATATGGTGTTATTGTCTTCATAAGTAGCTAAGTTAATCTTTTTTTTGAAGCATGTACTACCATTTTTTATTTTCTCTAACAAATTAAATAATTTGACAAATGCTTATGGTGTTATTGTCTCCAAAGCAGTGCATTAATATAAGAAACATGTCCATAAAAAAGACTAGGGTTTCTTATATTAATGCACTGTTTTGGAGACAATAGCACCATTATCATTTGTCAAAATTATTAATTTGTTAGAGAAAAATAAAAATGGTAGACAATAACACCATATGTCATTTCTCATGCATAGGAATGAGAGGGAAAAATAAAATCGAGGATAGGAATTAGCGGGAAAAAATAGAGGGAAAGTTTTTGCTTTTTTTTATTATTTTTAGTTTTTTAATCATTTTTAAGAGTGAAATAACTTAACTACCCTCACATGTTGTGCACATGGTCTCACTTAACGGAAATATGGATGGAATATATGAAAAACTAACGGTAGGGGGCAAATTGGCTAAAAAAATTAGTTTGAGTCCTTAATTTTCCAATGGAAAAGTTCAGGGGGGAAATCGAAAGTGAGGTGAAAGTTCAGGGGGTAAACCGACAGTTTACTCTATCTTTTTTTATAATTAATTTTGTAAATTACACTTTTTAAGTTTTATAATTTATTTTATTTTAAATATTACTTTATTTTATAGTTAAAAAAGCACGTGAAATATATGTGTGTTGAGTTGAAAGAATCAGGATTCTCTCCTGAGCATTTTCCTAGAGATCTTAGGGATCCCGCAATCTTGTCCGTTTATTTTATATCGTGCGGTCAGTTTTTGTTAAGTACTATTTATATTTAAATTTTAAAATTTAAATTTTAAATGATTTCTGACCGCACAATACATAATGAACGGACATGATTGCAGGATTCCTAGAGAATGCTCATGAGAGAATCTTGGTTCCAGTTGAAATATCTGTGCGTTGAGTTTAATTATTTAATGGCTGTTTTATTAGTTGGATCCAATCACTCGTCTGTTTCAAATTTGCAAACACGTTTTGTTTGAGTTCACTTGGTACGTTCGGGTTCGCTTTCCTATCTGCCAACTTCAAGCATGGCCCATGCATTTTCCGTTTATTTACAGCATCGCGGCGTCGCCTTCCCATCTTTTATTTATTTATTTTTTATTGGAGAATATTTGACAGGATAGAGTTTTGGTCTCTGAAATAAAATTTATAATTTTTGTTTTCTGAACTTGTCATAATGTGAAACAATGATTCTTTTGAGTAATATCTTTAGAAATTTCATCCAAAATAAAAAATTGAAAGTGGCAAAAAAAGATGAAAATTCTGATCGAATAAGCTAAAAGGTTCAATGCTCCATATTATAATAAGTTCAAGAACCAATACTCACAATTTTAATTCAGGGACCAAATCTCAAATTGAGAAGTTTAGAGATCGTTGCTCCAATTATCTCATTTCATTACAAATGATATTCTACAAAAAAAAAAAAAAATGAAGTGCTTGATTGGTAATGTAATGAGTTGAAGTGGAAGAGTGTAATAAACAAAGCAATACACCACTTTCATCCTCCCATCTATGTCATTATATTTTCGCTTCGTCAATGTTCATGGTTTTGCTAGAAAAGGAAAACAAACACACGTTTAAAATTTCCAATATGATTTGAGAGTTTGTTTTTTCCTTCTCGCATAATTTCCACGTAACACAAAATTGAATAATTTTATTAAGTTATGTTGAGCTCAACTTTCAACGAAGTGCTTGTAGATTTGCTCATCATTTGCGGTTGATCATGTTTTAACGTAATTTTTGTTAGGTATAATTGCAAATGTTTATTTGTGTTGTATTACGTTTATGTCGATAGGCAGAATGCCTGCTTGTTTTATAATGGAAAATTTGATGCGTCAGTAGGTTTAACATTTATTTGCTTAGCAGGTTTGCAGAGCTTTGTTTAGATTGGAAGGCCGCTTAAGCTTTCGTTAGTCTGGCTTTGTTTTTGTTTTAGGCTGCTGTTTGTTTTAGCTTGTCTGGTTTTGTAGTTGCTTCTTGTGGTTGCTGTGGTTGGGCTGGTCTGCCAGACCGCCCTCTCTGGTCTGCTGCCGGCGGTGCACGGAGGATATTAACAGCGATTATCTGACCGTCTGTCTCTTCTGGTTGGCTTACAAGCAGATTATCTTGGACCAGTTTCTTAGTTTAGTTTCATACGCAATCAAATTCTGGTTGTTGTTGTTGACCTTATTAGTCTGGCCTGAAAACTGGATGAACTGAATTTGTTGCGACTGAGCAGTACCATGACCGTGGAGAATGGAGGGCCTGCCGGGCGAGACTATGAGCAATACGATTTGTTTGGAACCTTCTTGTTTGGGTTGAAACTTAAACTTTGGGCTTAGAAGGGAGTTGGCCCAAAAAGAGAAGGAAAAGCCTGAAGCTCAGCCCAGCCCTAGAAAGCAGAAAGGGCCTTTCCCGACTAGGTGTAGATCATTTGTACCACTTGCTCACCTACCCAAGGGCCAAGTAGTATAGACCAGCCAGCTAATCAGCCCAAAAGTACTTTATGATGGCAGTACAAGTAAATAGCTGATGAGTCACTATCCTTCAAACTGCATTCGGGCAAGATTATTGCTACAGGAGGCCAAGCCAAGGTGGCTATAAAAGGAGAAAGAGAAGTCAGAATCAAGGACACTCAAACAAACAAACAAAAACACAAACTCTGCTCAAAGCCAGATTTGCCTTCAAAACGAAGCTGTAGTCAGCCCAAGCCTTCATCCCTTTCGGGACAAACCCTTTGTAATAGCTCTGCTACCCTGTTCAATGCCTGCTGTAGTATCGATTTTCTTTCTACAAACTCATCTCCCAACCCCTTTTCTAAGCTTTCAAACCTTCTGTTAACCCACAAAGATAGGAAGTTGCAAGACGATCAGCCTTACCCGACAAGGTTAAACCTTGCCCGACCTTCTTTGTTGTTTTTTTTTTTGTCTTTTCATTCATTAGCCTAGCAATATGTTGTATACTTCAAGTTGTATCCAAGTTATTTCTAGTAATATGGCTATTAAAAGACTCTCTCAGCGCTTGAATCCGATTTGAATATGTCTTCATAGTTCAAGCTAGATCTAAGCTCTAAGTCCTCGGGCATATAAGATTTGATTACCCTAAAAAGTCCTTGGCCTCAAGGCATAAAAAAGAACCTGATGTGGACTTAACCCATCCACAACAAGCTTTGATAAACAAGAAGTCCGAAGTTACTTGGGGCACAAGTAATCGACCTGCCACTTAGTTTTATTTCTGTTATATTATGATAACCATATAACGTTCGAGTACGGGATGAATTCTGATGGGAAGCCTCAAGGCCTATTCAAGGCCCCACAAAGGCACATATTTGGATTCATCCTATTTCTCTGGCAAGAACATTGAGCACAGAAGGGGTTTTGATGGGAAGCCTCAAGGCCTATTCAAGGCCCCACAAAGGCACCTATTTGGATTCATTCTGCTCTTTGAGCTCAGGTAATCAGAAGTATGATGGTTATAAGACCCATATAACTAAAAAAAGGAACCTTATGTGTTTGAGTACTAAGTTAGTTATTTATGGGAAGCCTCAAGGCCTACACCTAAGGCCCCACAAAGGCACCTGTCAATAACTAACATAGTCTCTTGAATATATAATAATAATAACTCAAACATTCGTTCTACATCTACCATGCTGAAGATGGTAGTGGCACGCCTGAGCAATTCAAAGTTAATCTTGATCGTGAGCCTCAAGGCCTACACCTAAGGCTTCACAAATGCACCTTTCAAAGTTATCTATGTCCTTCTCTTTCAGCCTTGCCCGACAAGCCCGCTAGTAAAGCAAAAGCCCGATAGAAAGCATCAACCGGTGCCAACCTCTCGGGGAGTTGTGTGCTCGTTGGCCAGGAAGCATTCCCCACGAAAATTCCCGCCACGAACATAGTTTTGGCACGCCCGGTGGGATTCTTTGATCAAAGCAATATGTCAAAAGGATCAAAAGATTTCCAAACTGCTTTGTTGCACATACTACAAAGATTGGAGAACGCTTCTACAAGCTCCAGAAAAGAAGATGACCCGGTTCTAAGACCACTTATCCCTATGTCTTTACCTCATCTTGGGGAGGAAGATGATAGGGAGAAGAGGGGGCTTAAAACCAATCAACTAGAAGAAGCTGCGGTGACGGATAAACATACGGATCCCTTCTCAGAGGCCCCTATAAATATGATCAGTATGGCCTGGGTGGAGAAGGGAAAAGAGAATGTCACAAGAGAAGAAGAAAGAAGACTGGTTGACAAACCCATAAAGGGGGGGTTAACTTGCCTGAATATCCAAAAGCCGCCATATTCAAAGGAAGGGTGCTGTGCAGTAAGTGCCAATGCGAGTGTGAACTCGAGATACCGCCCGCGGGAGCCCTCATAGATCATGAACCAATCAGGAGGAATGAAGAACAAAAGAGAAAAGAGGCACAAGAGAAAGCTCGGCGGACTGCAGGAAGGGATACCTCCCGAAGTGTCTTTCAGCGGCTAGGAGGCGATTCCCAACCAAAGGCTTTATCAGAAATATTTCGTAACCATGAAGTTTCTGAGGAGGCAGATGATAAAGATGCCAAGAAGTCAAAAGAGAGAAGTGTAGGGCACTTTCAGTACGCCCATATG